CGCGGTGGCAGGCGGTGACGTGGCTGTGGTCACTTTCCAGGTCACATCACAGCAGAGACGATCATGGCCATCCTGCGGGACAAGGCCAGCGGGATCTGCGTGGACTCGGAGGGCTTCCGCACAGCAGGCAGCATGGTGTCCGTGCTGCCCCAGGACCCCGCCGTGCCCTGCGTCCACTTCTTCACGGCCACCCCTGACCCCTCCAGGTGAGGATGCCGGCAGGGGACAGCCCCGCTCTGGGGATGACGGGGATGAGGCAGAGCCATGCTGCGGGGCTGAGCGTCCCCAGGGGAGCAGCAGTCGGTCCCCACACTGGCTGATCCCAGGGCCCTGGTGCTCCTCTCCGGCAGGTCCGTCTTCAAGCCCTTTGTCTTTGTGGCAAACCTCAAGCCCGTGCCACAGGTGACATCTCCCACTTTCCGTGACGACCCCGCCAAGCGCATCCCGCGGTTCCAGAGCACGGTTGATCGGCGCCACAAGCTCTACCGCCAGCATCAGGCAGCGCTGGAGTTGATGGAGAGGGACCAGGTACCGTAGACCCCTCCCCAGTCACCACTGCCCCGGGACCCTTGCTCTCACCGTTCTGGGAGGCCATCAAATTCCCTGAGGGCACCCGCTCTCAGCTCTTCTCCCTCCCCAACCCCACCAGGAGCGGGGCCAGAGGCTCCTGGAGACACTGCGGGAGCTGGAGAAGCAAGGCCTGGAGGGGATGAACGCACTGCTGGGGGGGACAGTGACCCCCCACCCGGAGGAGCTCGCTGACCTCTTCTTCGACTGCGTGGAGGCAGAGATGAAGTTTTACACCTAAACCCCGTGCAGGTGGGTGGACTCGCCCTCCCCACGGCATGGCTTCTGGATAGAGGATGAGAAAACCTTCCCAGTGCCCGGTCCTGGCTCCTCACCTCCTCCAGCTGCAGATCTGCTGCTGGCACATTGGGGAACGGCTTAACCGGCGTCCCCAGCCCTGCCTGGGGGTGCGGAGCCTCCAGCCCCTAATTTGCCCCAGAGGAATTGGCACTTTTGAGAGGTGGCCATGGCCTGAAATGCAGGTGCGGGGGGAAGGAGAGGGACGTGGAGTGGGATTTGAAGTGGTCTTTTCCAGCCATCAGGCAGAGCTGCCTGTGCATGTCCCCTCTGGGGCTGGGGGCTCCATGGCAGACAGGCAGAATGATGTAGGAATAAAGAAGCTTTAATCCCAACTGTGTGATGCCGTGCTGGTGCGGGTGATTTGGGGTAACTTCCCATTTCTTGCTCCTTTGGCACCAATCTCCTCCCCTAGAGCCCTGGTCCAGGGCCGGCTCCCAGCAGGAGCTTGCTGGGGCTGCAGGCAGGGGTGCTGCCTGCTGGGTCCTGGCAGGGGTGGCAGCTGCGTCCTCTGCTTCACTTGGGGATTGGGCTGAGACCGCCTGGGTCCCAGGGCCACGATGCTGGTTTCTCCCTCCCTGCCTGGGCTCAGCAGCACGGGAGGCAGCAGCAGACCCCGATGCTCCCGCAGCATCTCCACCTCTGCAAGACGGGTACGATGTTCCTCCAGAGCCTCCCTCTGCCTCTGCTGCGAGCGCCCGACCAGTTCCTGGTGCAGATCCACAAAGAAATCTGCCAGGAATGAAGGGAGGGAGAATTACAGGAGATCTGGCACGGCCACTTGAGCTCCCTGCCGCTCCTGTCACCCTTGGGGACAGACAGACCGGCCTGCTTAACCCCCGAGCATGCAACGTGTCCTGCTTCGGTCTGGGCACCTCTGTCTACGCTGAAAGGGCTGCTCAGCTCACAGAGTGACTCCTCATCCTCATCCTCACTGCTGGAGGAGTCTTCATCCTCCTTTTCCTCGCCCACGCTGCTGCAGACTTGCTGGCCATCCAGCTGCAGGAGATGGGGCAGGGCTTCCATCACCAGATCCCTGCAAGCATTGAGGAAGAGCAGACGTTCTCCCACCACGCTGGCTGGAGTTGATATTGGGAGGGGCTGTACCCTGCTGAGGGGCTCGTGTGGTTTGGGGCGCTTGCTCTCCCTTGCAGGGCACCCCCTGACCCACCTGTATCCATGCTGGTGGGTGCATTCATTTCCCATTAAATTGAGGAGACGGAGGCTGCGGGGCAGCTCATCTGCAGAGACCAAAGGGAAGGCAGAAAGGTGCTGAGATGGGATCTGAGCTTCCCCCTCCACCAAACCCCCTCACCTCTCCCCATCTCTTCACCCACTCCTGAGGTGGCAATCCTGCCATGGGAAGCAGTCTTTCACCTCACAGCTGGGGAAACTGAGGCAGGAAGGGCAGGGATGTGTATTGCACATACTCCTGTGTGAGAACTGAGGGTTTTCCCCCTCCAAGGCCCTTGCTGTTCCCTTTCCCACCACTGTCTGTAAGCAGAGGGCCTGGTGCCACAACAGCAGCACTACCAAGGAAGAGAAGGAGATACCATCTCTCTGTCCCTCCCTCTTCTGCCAAAAATCACCCAAGGGAGGAGCCGTGAAAGATGCGGGAAGGGTTGCTGAGGCTGGAGCAGCTTTGCCATGAGGTTGAAACCCCTCAGGTGGGATCTGAGCCACTGGAATGTTCTGCCGAAGCAGGACACGGTGGATGCTGACACCTGGAGTCTGCCAGCAGAAGGGACAGCTCCAACTTGGCCACAGGGACAAGCTGGGACATGCTGGGACACACAGGGCAGCCCCAAGGTGGCTCTCCTGAGGCTCTGGCTGGGAACTGAGGGCCAGGGGCCCTGGCATAGACTGGACCAAGGGTCTGTTGGTGTTTCCCCAGTACCTGAGGGCACCTCTTGGGCAGACCCAGGCCACATCCGGACCCGTCCCTGCCTCCCACCTGGGTCCAGCGTCTGTATCAGGTTATGGGACAAGTCCAAGGCACGCAGGTGTTGCAGGTGCTGCAGGTTCTCCACTCTGCAGATGCGGTTTCCAGCCAGGGAGAGGAACCTGCAGAGCACAGAGAGGGCAGTGGTGTGAGGTGGGGGGTGCATCACAACCCCCAGGGTCAGAGCCACCGACACCAGGATGTCAGGGGCTGCCACTCAAACCCCCCCAGCTCTGCCAAGAGAAGGGGGACCCCCGCTGTCCTCTGCTTGGGGGCGGGAGCTGCCCTTACTGCAGGTTGGGGAAGGAGCCCAGATTTTCGATCTTCTCAATTTGGTTCTGGGGAAAAAAAAATGAAAAAGCAACATGTTTTTCTGCTGCTTGCAAAATCAGGCTTTGGGAGCACCCCGCGGTTGCTCCAGCCGTTGCAGGACCAGGGGTGATCTCTGCTGCCCCGTGCCTGCCATAGTGCGTTACCTGCTGCAGGTAGAGGCTGTGGATCTCCAGTGGGCTCTGGAGCCTCCCGATAGCACAGATGTTCTCCCGATCCAAGCGGATGGCGCAGGGGGACAGCAGCTCTGTGGATCTAAAGGGGGATTCTCGGGGTGTCTTTTGTGCCCAGAGCCCCCTCCCTGCCAGTCTGGATGAAGGTGGGCTCTGCGCAGATCCTCACCGGCTCTCTGGGCGCAGGGGAGGCAGATTCCTCATGGCGATGAGGCTGTCGGTCAGAGTCACCCCCCGGGACATCTGCTCACGGCCTGTGGGAAACCCAGAGTGATGTGGCCCAGGCCAGCGGGGTCCAGACCCCCCATTCCCCCCAGGCTGACACATGAG